TTCAAATTGTCCAAATTATGATTAGTGGGGTAGGGTTGGGTCACAATATGTATTACATTGGGGAAATCTGGTAAAGAATAGCATGATCAAAGCTTCTCAGACGAGCGATGTGGCCCATGGGCCTCTTGTCATATATTTCAGGATATACCAGGGGTATAAATTTCTCTTGTATGCCTCCAACAATCCTTCAACAAATTCTTGAAAAAAAAATTTCTTTCCTACAGTTCAACTAATAACCTTCCTCCAAGTAAGGAGGAGACATGAAATCCCTAGCACCAACTTTTCAAGAGTTATTGTCCAGGATCAGGGGTGTATAAGTCAAAAATGTTGGTACCAAAAAGACATTGTCACGAGGAAAACAACATACGGCATGTGATATGCAAACGCAACAGATACAATCAATCCAAAATATGGACATTGTTTAAGTTTCTGCGGGCGAACAGATTAACACAGACAGGCAGACATACAGATAGACAGACAGGCAAACTCATTGGGCATAAAATGTATACCTCCAGATCTTTGATAACGAGGGCATAAAAAACTTTTCTCGGTTCATATTGTCGCAGACAGTGAGCATATGTGCAGATTGTCGCTGACGACAAATACACAGAACGACAATATGTACATTCACATCCGTACATCCTGATCTCATAGTTCGGAAAAAAATACATGCCTCCGCACATTAATTATTATCCTGCTTAATGCCTGTTGTCATGTTCCCGAGAAATGAATCGAATGTTTTCATAACACACCCTTATACTTTATTTATACTTTTTGTTAAATATTTACATTTGCTTACTTATATCAAACCTTTCGGATTGTATGATGACGTAACATTTATTATCCAGTTTGATTTAATTTTAAGAACCTATAAGCTTTCACATAACTGTTATTTATTCAATAATTTGACTTTTCAATATGATGGACAGACTTGACAGTGCACAAAAACAAGGCATTTACAATATACCACAAATAATAACCCTCGGTGCACTAAGAAAACTAAAGAGAAGATTAATAATTATTCATTTCATTTGCTTATGTGTATTTAAATACAAGTTTATAAGCTTGTTTTATGTGTTATTGACTTCTCTTTTGAAGAATCAAATATTCATTTACTGTTTCTCTTTTCAGGGGGAAAAGACCAAAATACAAAAAGACTCAAAGGATTTTCCATTTTTGCGTCATATGAGCCAGTTGTGACCTTATACACTTCAAGAGTAGATACGAGGTTTCAATGTTATAAAGATCCAGGAAATGTGGCGCTTGATACAGTGCTTGAATTAAACTGTACACATTTAGCACGGTATGTCACGATTTATAATGCTCAGAAGAACGACCCAGACGGAGTATTTCTGGAAATCTGTGAAGTGGAGATTTACGGTATGACTTTATGTGTTAAACAGTATACAAATATAAAAGGAAACCCTCAGTTCTCTTACAAGACACATAAATTTATTTAACAGTAAGGAGTAGAAAAATGTTTTAAAGCAATATGAGCTGCATTTTTGAAATTTCATTTTGATGTTAAAATGTTTTATTATGATAAATTTGTAAATAATTAAAACTTTTGATCAATAAGACTAAAATAAATCATTAAACTGTTTCAGAAGAAAGACTTCAATACAATCAAATATTTAGTATTATATAAGAAATCATTATTGTACAGGACGACACTAATGTAATTTTGATTCAATCAAAGCTTATAAATACTCTTTACATTACATACTAAAGCTCATTTTCCTCAAATTCGAGGGGTGTAGCTATTCTTGTTAATAATAACTCTGATATACAAACTTTAAAACAAAAAGAGGATCTGACGTAAACTATCTCTTTCTAGAATTCAAAAAAGAGGAAAAAAGCTGCTTCTTTGTCATATTTATGGCCCAAATAATGATAATCCAGACTTCTATGAAAACATACAAACTTGTATAAATGATTTTAACTGTGATAATGTCATTATTTTTGGTCATTTTAACGTTGTATTGAACCCAGATATCGATTATTATAATTACAAACATATAAATAATCCAAACGCAAAGCAAAAGGTTCTTGATTTTATGGAAGATGGGGTTATATCAATATATACAGACAGTTTCATCCAAAAAGTCTAAGATGCACATTAAGAAAAAAAAACACTAGAACAAAGCAGGATTGATTTCTTTCTGATCTCAGAAAATTTATTGCCAAGTGCAATAGGATGTAATAATTGAAACATGTTATAGGTCTGATCATTCCATAATTAGTTTATCTTTGGAAAAAGGTAAAGGTCTTTGGAAATTTTATAATTCCCTTCTTAGTGATGAGAAATTTCTTAATACTATAAACGAAGTAATTAAGAATGTCTAGAATCAGTATTCTGTACCTATATATTCAATGGAAAACAAACATCAAGTTGATGATGAAAAATTAGTCTTTACAAAAATGATCAATAGTTTTTTTAGAAAGCCTACTTTTGGAAATAAGACAAAAATGTATTTCCTATTCCTCATACAAAAAGAAACTAACAAACAAAAAGAAAAAGACCCTTTGTCTCCATATCTATTTGTCATTTATGCAGAAATCCTTGCAATCAGCATTCGAAACAATAAGGATATAGAGGGGATTTGGTTTATGAATTCTGAAAAAAAAGTTAAGTATGTTGGCAGATGATACTTCTTTAATATTAGATGGAATTGAACGATTTGGGAATATGTCAGGCTTGCATATGAATAACATTAAACTCAAATAGACTGGATTTGGTAAAAAAAAAGGCAGCAATGATATTCTAAGAACAGATTATATGTTAGAGTGGGGGAAAGCAACCTTTCAATCATTAGGCATTGACTTTGACACAAATCTTGAAAATATATTTATGCTTAATTATGCATTAAAAATAAGTAATATAAAAAAATCAATGCAACACTGAACAAGAGAAATTTAACTCCTCTTGGTCGGCTAACGGTTCTAAAAACTCATATTGCGAACCTTAAATGGTGTTTTTGCATCTCTCCCAAGTCCCTCTGAAATTCAAATGAAACAATTAGAAAATCTATTTTATACATTTGTATTGGGAAGTAATATTTCAAGACTAAAAAGAAAAATTCTTGTAATGAATTACATAGAAGGGGGCTTAAAGATGATTAGTATAAGAGCGTTCATTATGTTCTTAAAACTTGTTTGGATATAAAAAAATGTTACTGTCTGACAATAGGTTAGATTCGATTTTAGATATTGACATTAAAAAAATTGTATGTTGTAGGCAAGAGCATGTTGTCAAAAATGCATAATTTATAAATAGTTTTTGGAGGGACGTGTTTCATGCATGACTAAGCTTTTGTGACAGATCGTTACAAAATGACACACTTACCTCTTTAGAACCATTATTTCTTTACAAAAAATTAACCATTACTAAAAAGCCATTCTTCTATGATAGATGGATTTCTTGTTACATTTTATGTATAATTGATGGACTCAATGAAGATGCGACATTTGTGAGTTTGAATGACCTACATATGAAATACGGATAAAAACACTTTTTCTTGAATCTAATTGTATAAAGGCATATTCAAAATTAAAATGAGCGAGAAAGATAAACAGAGATCAAAATAAACGCCCCTGAATGCCTAAAAATCACATGATTTATATGAAATACGATTTGACGAAAAATTGAACCTTTAGGTAAAACCGCTTGGAATAGAATATTTGATTTGAGCAATGGTGAATAGGAGAGAATTAATTTACATGTACCTTCTATGAAAAAGAAACTGAAACAATAGAACATTTTTTGTGAAATTGAGAACATGTTCAGTCTCTTTTAGAGAATTTTGTAAAGCATTGTTTCGATAAAATCCACACTACTATAACTTTTTCAAAAAAAAAAAAAAAAGAATTTATATTGGGCTCTGTGAAGTAAACTGATAAGCTTTAAAATATCACTGCCTTATAAATAAATTAAAACATCATATTTATCTCTACAAATGTATAATCAGAAACATCTCCTTAGGTGGGTTGATATCATCTTTTAAGACAATGTATGAATTACAAAAATATATATCTTTTAAAAATTATGAAAGAAATTCTTCAAAATGCAATTAATTATAAAAGATACTTCTTACATCGAAAATATGAACAATGGAAGTTTATAAACATTCTTATTTTTTTCTTTTCAAATAGTTGTTTAAATTTTGTCACAAAAAATTTCGACATCAAAGTTGAAGCTCATATTGATTTAACAGATGTGTAGTTTTTCATATTATAGAATATAAAAACTATATTTCCTGATGCTTAAAGGGAATCAATGAGGCTTTTTATATGTATGTATGTGTGTTATGTATGTATGTATGTAATGTTTGAAAATACGGGTAAGTTTAATATTTTTTTATCTTTATGAAGAATCTATTGGGTCTTATGGATGTTACAATACATAATAAGTTTTAAAAAATAAGCTTAATTACGGACCTTTGTTTATCATCAGATCTCTGACATTGAAACACATAAAATAACCTTCTATCTAAATTGGTTATGTTTCAAGAAAAAATTATCATATTTATATAAATCACTTATTCATATAAGGTTGCCCACGACATAAATATGGTGAAGATTGTGTTCGATGTGGTATGTGCAGATACGAATGCGACGTATTTGGACAATGCGATACAAATGGTTGTAAAGAAGGATATCATCCACCATTATGCCGGGGTAATATACAGTATCATATAACAATAAAAATTGTCTTAGAGTTTAAAACTTTGCGCCATCGATATGAATCATTTGAACACCATTACAATTACTTTTCCTTACTTTTTTGCTATGTCCCTGGGACCAAAGATACAAGGGGTATATTGCTTTTGTCCTGTCTATATGTCTGTCTGTATCTGTTTATCTTTTTTTGTCTCTCTTTTGTCAACTTTAACCTGAACGGTGACTAAATGTTTAGCAATTGTACAATTCTAGACAATCAAGTGACCGATTTACTTTTCTGTATTTGACACTTTTTAAGTATCTTTTCAGCATGTACTCCAGGAAGATATGGTACAGATTGCAAAGAGGATTGTCACTGTGAAAAAATCGAGTCATGTAATCAAATCAATGGACACTGTTTTGGGTCGTGTGATCGTGGATATTATATGGATAAATGTCCAACAAGTAAGAACACAATTTTGTTTCGTAACATAAATCATAACTGATGAAAACTTTTGAAATTCCTTGATTTCTGTTTATTTAATTCTACTGCTTGTACAATGTCTTCTTTAATTTTCTCTGTTACATTTCTATATTTAGATTGTACATGTAATAAAAATGTAAAGGGAAATAAAAATACACTGTTTTAATTAAAGTTTTATTGGGGGGCTTTAAATTAAAAACTAAAGACGTTTAATTTTATATATATATATATAGATGCATTATGAATGATTCTTCATCAGCTTTAATGAAATTGAATTAGTATAAAGTGTTTGTTGTGGGATATGTACTTTGTTTTCTTTGGAATTAACTTGTACATTTATCTTCAATGCTTTTGAGGAACTACAATTAAGGTGGAAATCTACACCAACTTTCCATTTTATAGATCTCTGAGTCAACCTTATAAAACAATAGTTTCAGCATTGACTGGCCGACATTAGCTCTAAAATTATTAAGAGCTTATATCGACCTTTCAATGCTGAAACCATTGTTTAAAAAGGACGACTCAAAGATTTATAAAATAAAAAAAGTTGGTGTGGCATTCCACCTTAATTGTAGTTCCTCAAAAGCATTGAAGATAAATGTACAAGTTAGTTTCAAAGAAAACAAAATAATTTAATTTCAGTCTAAATGACTTAGAAATGATTCATTAATCAAATAAAACTAATACAGTTCAGCTGATCGAGGCAAGAAATTTTATCCGAAATGTATCATTCTACCAAACCAAAAAATATACCACTGGTCAAGAAAATATTTTAACCAACTATTCACTCAAAGTGGAAACTCCTGCTCTCTGAAGTAGTTTAAAATATCAAAATAATAAAACCAAGAAACTCCTTGAGAGCAACGAGAGGTCTTCCGTCAAAATAACAAACCTTATATATAGTATTCTTGCACATAAATTTACATTAACTTATTAATGTTCGTAGATGAGAGACGTAAACTTTAAAAGTGCGGGGATCAAAAATAAAAATAATTTTTTTATGATAATAGCCCATAATACTCACAGAAAGAAAAATGAAATGTCAATCATTATTTATAAAGATGAAAGCATAAATTTGAGCTAAAAATAAATAAGACCAATAAAGATGTATGTAGGGTTAAACCCATATCGCCTGCGCTAAAATTTAATTTGGAAACAATCAGCACGATTTTACCAGACATCATCGATGTTTACTTTGTACTGAATTATAGAATGAGTGATAGCCAGGAAATATTTTTTCAAGCAGATTCACACTTGAACTTGTTACATTGTACATGAGCATGAGTTTATCAGTAACCGTAAACATAAAGAAGCAATTATCTGTCCCTGGCGAAATGATGTAACTGTTTACTTTATTTATTCTTTATGTTTTGCAACTTTTCCCCTTGCAATTTCTTTTGAAGATAAGATATGTCGATGACATTTTTTTTCCTTCACGTTTTCATTTTTTCAAGACTGCACTAGTCGATCTGTCTTAGAATTATGAAATATCTTTGAAATGTTTTATAGTCTATATTTTGAGGTTTAAAAAAGTATATTTAACACACTGTACATATAACATATCGTTTAGGGAGAAGTTTACACTTAAGCAGTGAAATGGCTATGACTTTTTATGTCCTTTTTATCCCTAACGTGGACTTGACCGAATAGTTAGACTAGTACGTTTGTTGAAAAACATTTCTCACCCTAATTTACGTTCAATACCATTTACCGGTATGTTCAGCCACTTGCATCAAATATATTAAAAAAAATTGTTTATTTAAACCTCATTTAACAATCTTTCAAAAATGGGTTTTCTTATATTTTTTTTTTGTCTTTTCAATTCATTTAATATGACACAAGCCTGCATGACAAAAAGTGGTCGCGTATTACATAATCTTATATTGTTAACTGAAAAAGCTATTTCTATGACCATGATTTAAAATCTTTTTTCCGTGTTGCAAAACAAAAGGTCGTTATTATCGTATTTTAATTTGCAAATGGATTCTTGTCCTTTTCTAGTTTGAAAGAGTGACAAAATCAGTTTAATTTATTGATTGCTCGTGTTTGTCTGTTTTTTATAATATTCATTACATTATTGTTAAACATCCCTTTAGAGGATATTTTACTCATATGGAGACACCACCTTTTGCCAGTTGAGAGCTGTCAATTTTGTCCTTTACTCGGTATAGATTAAAATATTAGAAGTATAACTGTACCCATCCTAATTTTGCACCGTCCAGATATTATAATTTTTCAACAAAAACTTCATTAGGAATTATTAAAGGTCTTCTTTTAACCTTACTAATATAATTTAAAAAATATTTTGAAAAACAAAAAAAAAGATTCAAAAATCGATTCCTAAAATTGGCATCGCAGCAAAGTTTAGGTTAAAGTAAGGAGTCGGGGCCTAATTTGTACAGGAAATATTTACAATGGCGTCACACACAATATAAGGTATTAAAAATACCACAAAATGAAATTATTTGCTAATTCGACCAGCTGGATAACTGTAAAATAAATACAAACTTACTATTACATGCAGTTTTGTCGTTTGTTAAATCCCACACAACGGTATATAAACGATGAATCGATTGCATTGCACTTGTCAATGTAACGTCATCTTGAAAAAATGACGATGTTTGTAGTCAGTAAGCTGATCAAGTCACATTTTTTACAAAGAAAAATGTCTTTTATTCTCAAAAAAAATATTATTTGCAACTAAATATAAGGCCTTTAACTTGGATGCGATGTCTATTTTTGTATTTTATTTATAAACTATCCGTACATTCTCCATAAAAATGATACTGTCATCTGTTTGTATGAAGAATCATTGAAAAAGTAATGGAAGGGCCCTAATAAATCGATTTATTGCAAGGGCATACGCTCAATGTATCGTCATTCTTTTTACAAATAAGCTCAAGAAGCATTAAGCTATTTGAAAAGCGCTGCGAACCTTATGAAACCTTAAAAATAAATTAATTATAGTGATATTTCATGTAGTTTACCAGCAAAATATTCAACCTGACGTCCAACAAATTAAATTTTAGCAATTAAAATAGGGAATATATATAGGTTAGCAGCACTTTTCACAAACTACACATAGTCTTGAGAAGAATTATAAATTAAACTAAGATTTTTAACTTGGTTATGCCCTTGCAATATAAAATTTATAGATGACCTCTAAACTGCAATTATAATTGCTAAATCATGTGACGTCGACGTGACAAGTCTAAATAAAAAATCTAAATGTGAAAAAATCTAAACATGAAGATTTAAACCACATTACATTTTTTATATCAGTGTGAAGTCCGAAAAAGAATCACCTATCCTTATAAAGTATGTATTTTTTAACTTTAAAAATCGCCGATATTTCAACTAGCAACCTTAACTGTGCTGCAATCAAGTAACGACAGGGAGTACTGACAATGATCAATGAGTTATGATTTATAATTCCTACCAGTTTCACATTTATATCTATTTCTCTAAATAGAGATTATTTATAGACAATTTTCATTTTAAAATCAGAAATTGGTATCTTTGCACCGGTTAGGAATTTCCAGAAACTTCCCCCGGATTAAATAACTTCAGATTACAACACATATATTGTTAATGCAAATTTCACCAAAAAACATCCGGTATTTTGAGAATTTGCGTGCACAAAACTACAGAAGAAAAAATAATATCCGTAAAGCCAATAAAACCTTAATGAAAAATATTCCAAGGTTTAATAATAATAATAATAATAATAATGATAATACAATGTTATAATAAAAAAAATTCAATGTAATGTGTATAAAAAGCTTTGAATAAGAATTGTCAAATATCTATCAATTACCATTTTAAAATTTAAAATAAAACACAATGGTTTAAAAAGTCTTAAAAAGTCATGAATTATATGTCAACAAATTTAAAAAAAAATGAATATATACCCAGGGATACATGTAAGTTGAACACTAAATCTGTCATCTTATCTTTATCATGTTTAGAACTATTGTATTAAGGCATGATTTAATTGATATATCAACTTTTTGTGATTTTCATGGAACGTGAAAAAATGGCTTGTCTTTTTTAATTTTTTGTGTCGAATGAGGTCTAAAAGATCATTGGTTGTGAAAACCAAACGAAGAGCCCTAATTAGAGTAAAATAACAGCAAATTAACAGTTTAGAATGAAAAACTGAATTAAGTGTTCATGAATTAGATGTTCATAAGGTTTATGACTTTTTATATTTTTATCGTACTGACGATAATATAGCTATGGCGCTAATATTTTAACTGTGGCGGAATCATGGCGCTGATTTTTTAACTGTGGCTTTACAGAATTTAACTGCGACGGGTCTGCCCTGTTTAACGACCCAAGGAGAACCCTCCGATTTTCGAAGAAAGCGGAAGTCTATAATTCAAAATCGCTAAGTGCTTTGTCTTGTAAATTATACCTATATCTAGCACATTCAAATAGTGATAGAGCTAGATCAGATTTACGCTAACCTCTTGACAAATTGATTTCTGCCAGATATCGTATACGCCAAATATAAAATATTTATAGCTATACGTACTTTAGAAACTAACTCAACATGTAAATATGTATGATGCTTAAAATAGCTTTTATTGGAGAAGGAACAACACGCTTTTTTTTAAATTTATATGTGACATATGCAAGTTAGCAATTAACCGCTACCTCTCTATTTTTCAATATTTTCACTCTGGCTAATACTTAGAAAATTCCATAATTTTTTTTTCAATTTATCTTATTTTTCGTAAACGAATTATCAATTTTTATGGGTTTTTTTCGTTTATAAAGTAAATGAACATATCTCCATGACTTTCGAGCAGACCTTGTTACTAATCACTGAAGTAATAAAATTATTTTTTAAAATTAAAATTTTTCTTACAAAGATGAGCTTGTAAGACCCGGATTTACCAGGGCAGACAGTAGTTCTGTTGATTACGGTGGATAACCAAGCAAGACAGTGGATGGAGACTTCAGACAAAACCCCTATATATACTGCATGCATACAACACCCGGATACACAGATGCCTGGCTTAGGATTGACCTTAGGAAGCTATACAATATCAGCTCTGTCAAGTTTTGGTATCGAAATGACGGATTAGGTAAGTTGTATATTACGTTTTATTACATTATTCTTTTTCTGTCTAATACATGATTATTTTTTTTATTAAAATTTACCTTTATTGAGTTGTGTTAAGGTCAGAAATTGAAAATGTGACTTTAGCACCGTTCAAGATGTATTTCTTTTTTAAAAAACTATGTGACAAAGTAGATGAATTCATAGAAAAAATGTAATACACCTATCCATACATGTAATTGAAAGGGCGGGCTGGGTTGCACACAGTACCAGATATATCGCATGTAGCAGCTGTGTATCACGTAACTAGTGTAAACAAAAATAATTTTAACATAGATATTAATAGAGGGAAAATAGTTTAGTACAAGGGCATATGCTTGTTTTTGAAGAAAAAAATACACATTAAAAGATATTAACTTCCTCTACCTAAAAGTGCTGCGAGCTATTCTGTGCTGTTTAGGTAAGTACTGAAAAGTTTACCAAAAATGCGTACAAAAGCTAAAAATTTCCATTTCGTCAAATTCTATTATAAATACCAATAATTATATGCAGAACGGAATCAGCACCCAACACTTTTCAAAATATAAACTACTTGTACCTTATTATAAGCAATTACATGTAATATTAAAATTTCAGCTCAAACAATACCCTTGTTCTTTTGATGTAATTCACACATACGCTTATGGTTCTCGCCATAGTCTGTGCATTCCTTGTCCCTAACAGCTCCAATGCTATAAGATGAATTCACATTTATTAATACTGTCTAGTATGATATACATTGTATGAAATAAATTATTTTCTTTTAGTTTTAATAGTTAGGTTAAATAGAGTTGATTTCATATTCATTTAATCATGTCAGTTATTATTAAACCAGTGAATCTACTTGAACTGGGTCATGTCGAGGCTAGTGACGTCATAAAAGACAATAGAATTTCTTCTAGTATTACAGTAGTATTATCGAATATTGTTATTCTATAAAATTTAATATAGAGTCGTATTATGTAATGAAGTCCACACTAGCTAAAGTTGTGACGAACTAAACCTGACAAATTCTCGAATTAAATGACTTTGTCTGTTTTCTCTATTTTTAGGACTTTCCCTTTCACAAGCATTTGAAGATGATAAATTAAACAATAAAATGCTTTCTTTGTTTGTTATTACTGGAATTAACGGAAGCAGCTGTTGCAGAAAAAAAAATAAACCGCGTAAGCGGTTATGTAAATTTTTTCTGCACTAGCTGCGATCATTAATTCTAGTAATAACTAACAAAGAAAGAAATTTTATTGTTTATATTTTTATCTGTTGAAATAATCACTTAAAGTAGGATTTAACATCAGTTCTCTGTAAGGACCAAAGTTTTACTGTAGGGCTGTGGCACACACCATGGGCGATTTCAATGAAATTTTTCAGGTGATTAATGCCCATACAGTATGACATAATCAACATTCAAAATTAAGGTTACCACCTTGGTTGCCATGGTAACGGACAAAAATAGATTTTGACCCCATTTATGCCCATTTCACACATAAAAATGCTATATAATTCATTTCATATGGTATAATCATCTTTATTTTTATAAGATAAATAATACATTATATGAACAGAACACATGGAGCAATATATTACACAAATAAAAAAAAATTGTAAATGTCACAGCAAATTCTTCAATTGATGGCTCAAAGATGACCAAATTCTAACATTTCGAAAATGGACATTTTTACCCTGTTTTTCAAGAGGTCTATCAAAAATTGCAACCACTATGAGAAAAAATCAACTGAAATTTTAAAAACACTATAATAATGTTATTCAACTTTTATAAAAAGTAGAGTGGGTATTTTATTCGTTTAAAATATTTTTAACTTCGAAAATTGGCATTTTGCCAAATAATTTGTTTCTTTTTCAAAATTTTACCAGACACTAGTTGTTTGATAAAATTTCTTTTTCAATCAGTTTTTTCTTTAAAATATGAGAAATCAAATGAATAATAAATGTTTTCAATCTTTTTTTAAAGCTATTAATTAAAATAAATCAAAATTGATTGTTTTATTATTGTTTCTCAATGATCCCTTACAAAGCGCAAATAACTCAAAATCTAGCAAAAATTAGCTCTTTGATAGCCATTTTTTATAAATAATTAAACTTCTTTGTCATGCACTGATTCTGATGAAACTTTCCCCATTAGTACTACTTGACACCAGAAATAAAAATATCAAATAAAATTTGGTTGCAAGGTATCTTGGTTGCTATGGAAACAGCCAAAAAATTTTGAAAAATTGAGACTTTTGGCTACTTGAAATCTCAACTGAACATTTAATAAAATCTAAGAAAAACCAACAAATTATTGTCACAAAAACTACACACCTTGTTTTAATTTTATGTTACACAGAAAATGTTTAGAAAATTATTTGTACATGTAAGTCAGTGGTAAATATGGGTATATTTGAAAGCCAATTTAAATACTGAAAAATGCAAAGTATTCACTAATTCTAGGCATCACTTGACCAAAATTTAATAATAACTTAAGAAAAACAATAAAATGTTTGATCTCAAAGACATAGGTGTTAGCAAAATCATTCTATAAATAACTTTTAGGGTTTCCACAGTTACACAGTAAAACCAAGCAAAATAAAATTCTAAGTTTGGATTAATGCTATTATCTTGAGGAAAAACAAGAAAATTCTAGACTGGCACATACTAGTATGCATCTTTAAGACCTTGCAACACCAACAACATACTGAAAACTTTTCACAGGAACTTTGCCCAGTAATCAATATTTTCAAATACTAGATACAAAATGGAGAAAAGGTGCTGAATTTAAATTGACTATAAAACTAACAACACATTGAAAAAAACCATTAATATATCACTTACAATCTGTAAACATACACATACTCATTTGTATTCTGTTTATCAGTTTTATTCACGAGAACATTATTTTCCCACTTTTAAACAAGACTTTGTGCTCTCAGAAAATTAATTCTCACAGAAAATAGTATTTTTTGAGATTAAAAAGAGTATTGACACCAATTTGTGAAAAATGTGTCTATTTAAAAAAAGAGTCAATGACAATGTTGTGAAAATAAGGTAAAATAATTGCAAAATTATGTGATCTACAGTACATGTATATATAACAACTTTAATATTAATACAGTCTTTTTTTCAAATTATTAATCAAGAAAATCTTCAATGTTAATATTATCTAAAATGTGTATTTATATGTCAAAATATGGAGAGAAAAAAATCTGTTACATAACAATTTAGTTCAAACATTACCCTTTTTTTTTTTTTTTTTTTTTAAATCAGACGTTTACTGTTACAGTAATTAAACTTAGTTATAACAAAGGCATGGGGACCTTCGAAATTGCTTTGCTATATCTGTTATTTATTACATCTGTATAAGGAATGTTTTAAATTTATATAGTTGGGGATCCAAGATGACTTCGCTTTATCCGTAAATTCACAATATCCGTGTTTGTACTAAACGAGTTTTGCTGTATGTGGTGTTATGGCTGTCCAGTGAAGAAAGTGGGTTTAAAAAGTGACACTTGAAATAATCATCTTCGACTTTTTCCCTGAAATAAAAAATAACATATATCTATACCCTAATTTAAATTCATTATTTATCTACAACATTTTTTTCATGTGAAAACAAAATTGATATTTTTTTCACTATCATGTATTTAATTATAAACCAATTGTTAGTATTTACACCTTGAAAAAAATACCTCAAAAATATTTTAAGTATAAACAATGGAAGATAAAAGCAACCTAAAAAATTTAGTGAATTTACCATCACAAACTTCAAAACTTCTGACCTCCAATTTCTTTAAACAGAATTCCCTCCAAAAGAATACTGTTTGGTAACGATACTGTCTGGAGTTCAGTTCTCATGCAGGATCACTTGCAAGTTTTCTGTCTTTGTTTATTAATTTTGTAACTGCCTCCTGTTTCTGGTATATAACCTTTGTGTTAAAAAAAAGATAATAAAAACATAAAAACAAAGATTATTTCCTAATAAGTTGCAACTATATAGTTCATTGTTGTATACTGGATACTAGTATTTCTATTTAGGGTTCCTCTATTTATAGTGCCTTATATGCAACTTTCTTGCATAAATCATACATATATGCATCATGTATGTTAGGGATATTCATACTATTTCATATATACATGTACATGTATCCAAGTACAGTTGCATAATAGCTTAATACATATTCAATTTATGAATTTGTAAATACAAGAAAAACTTTCCTGATAAAATTTTGATTGACTACTTGTAAGTTATATGGTGTTCCCACAATTAATTTTGAATTTGCTTGTGAATTAAGTATGTTAAGAGTATATTTCTTTTAATATATAGAAGAAAAAAAAAATTCTAAAACCTCTTTGTTAAAAGTTTTATTAAAACATACATCATGTGTTGACTTTGTTGAGAAAATTGAATTAATTTAAGTAACAGTGTACTTACAGTTGCTCATATATCCTTTATTGGTGTCATTTGTATCATTTGTAACCTTTCACAGGTGATGCTCCTGTGTCACAGTTCTAAAATGTAACAATACAATCATAGTAGGTTCTACAACCAATTTTTGATTCTTTTTTTAAATTACTGTATCCCAAAACTTTATAAGAAACAAGAGGCCAATGGGCCACATCGCTCACCTGAGCACTAAGGGTAGGAAAAAGTAGAAAATGTTTTTTTATTGTAAAGTTTAAATCCAAAAGAAGTCCAATGACCAATCATGGATTGGCTATTTTTTAGAAAATGATTTTTAAAGAATTTTCCTATATATATCTTTAAAAACTTTGGTTGGCCATTTTGGCCCCGCCCTACCCCTGGGGGTCATGATTTGATCAAATTTGAATCTACACTACTTGAGCATGCTTCCATATAAATATGATGAATTATGGCTTTGTCATTCTTGAGAAAAAGATTTTTAAAGAATTTTCCTATATATTTCTATGTAAAACTTTGGTCGGCCATTTTGGCCCCGCCCTACCCCGGGGGGTCATGATTTGAACAAATCTGAATCTACACTACCTGAGGATGTTTCCCCATAAGTTTCATCTTTCCTGGCACAGTTGTTCTTGAGAAGAATATTTTTAAAATGTGCCACTAAATTTTCATTAATTCCCAATTATCTCCCCTTGAATGAGGGCGTGGCCCTTCATTTGAACAAACTTGAATCCCCTTCACCCAAGGATATTTTGTGGCAAGTTTGGTTGAAATTGGCTCAGCGGTTCTTGAGAAGAAGCTGAAAATGTGAAAAGTTTACAGACAGACAGACAAACGGACAGACGGACGCCGGACAAAATGTGATCAGAAAAGCTTACTTGAGCCTTCGGCTCAGGTGACCTATAAATCATGACATTAATAAAAGATTTAATTTTGCTGTGGTACATGTAGTTATTAGCATTAAATTATGATGAATGTTTATTTTATTAGCATCAAATTATGATGAATGTTTATTTCCTTACCAGGTAATTTTAATATTTAAAAAAAATTCTCACCTGCTTTTTACTGAAAATGAATTCTCAATGTATCTTTTCATCTTTATTTTCATAGTTCGAACTGTATTGGTACATCTAAAAATAAATTTATTATTAATTATTAAAATGAAATAAATTTGTGTGAATACATACCTTCAAGCTAGGGCATATCATTTTTATACATGTATTTTATCAAAGTGTGTATATATTGCTAAAGTTAATTAAAAATTATGGGGTTTTTTTCACAGTCAAACTGAATAGAGCCCTATAATATGCATGTGTTTACGTCCGTCTCTAATTTATACACACTTCCCTAAATATTTTTTAGCCCCCCCCCCCAAATAAAACACACACACACTTAACAACAATGTAGTCTGTACCCGAAAACACATATTAATTTTTCATTTCATACACACAAACCTAAGTTACATCTTCTATTACATTCTCCTCCTAATCAATAGTTGTATGATTTTCAAGAGTAAGTTAATTATATTGCTTTCTAAAGTAAACACAAATTTCTACTTTTTTTTATACCTGTACCTAGGGTAGATCCATTCCTACTGATTTCCCGGTGTCCGTATCCACTGCTTTTTAATGTTTTCTTCCATTTGCATCATAATGTACGTATGGGTTTTAAATTAGAATAGATGGAATCCCTCTAGTCAGACTTCATAAATTTTGTTCCAATATTTCACAAGACCTGTCTCTTTCATTTTCATTAATTGATTGATGACTTACTTTGTCACTCACAACTTAAACATCATTTTCTCATTGTTTATTTTCCTGGTGTCTGTTTAGCCACATGATCATGGCACATGTTGTTAGAAAGGAGAGTCAACCATTTTTTGTCTTCAGTGCAAAAGAGTCAGCAAAGGGAAATAACTCTCGGTCAACTTTCATGAAAAGTGAGGATTTCAGGCGAATGGAAAACAACATTTAAGTGATTTACCCACCTCAAATCTTTTTGAATCTTTTAGATCTAAGTTCTATCTTACTGAAAAAACCTTTTTTATAGGTTGAAATTGCCTGCAAAAATTTCTATGCACTTGAAGAAATAGGTACCTTTGTATTCATTTTATGACAATCTTTGTGTAAATTGATCTGTATTATATTAAAACCCTTGAGTTAAATTAAATAAAATTTATATGCCAAGAAACTTTGATTAGTTAGTTATAAAATGAGACCCATGTTACGTTCTCAACTTTTCTACGTTTAGGAAGCATGGAATTATTTTGCATGGTGATGACAATTAGGTCATTTTCGCCATGGCAAAATATTTAAAGGCCGTTGCTATGGAAACCAAGGAAGCACTGTCCAAAATTTACCCACCTATAGTCTTTATATAGGACACTCTTTAATATTATATTGATAAAATAAAATTCCATGATAGTGCGTGGCCAAGCAATTTTGGTCCTTACAGAGAATTGATGTTAAAGATTAAGTATTGTATTAATGATGCAAACCTCTTTATACGTTTCATCGATGGAACAGCCACCGATCAAGGAATCTGTACAGGCGACATGCCTACTGTAGTTCATGCAGTGATTAACGCAATGTGTTTTCTGAAGAAATAGAGGAGAAAATATTTAGCGGATGTAAATATGATATAATCACTATGAAAAATAATAGAGAGGTTAAGCAGATGACCGTGTACGTCTACGTGTACGTGTAGCTAGGAAAATCCCCTTATTTAATGCAATTTACGTCATCAGTTTTGCATACCGCGTAATTCTACAAGTTGTACACAATGTGTAGATTCGCAAGCACACGTAGGTAAGAACTTGTAGCTTTTTAAACTCAAACTACAGAATATATATTTTTCAGCCGGTGTTTGGTATGAAGTTTAGAATTTAGTACGTACATCCAATGCATTTTTTTTTTTATTTCAAGTCATAGAATTACTTGATACAAATAGATTGTAAAGTGCCTTGGTGAAATGACGTTTTACACGTACCGGTACACGTGCTGTTTTTTAAACAGAACAGGATGATAGTTATACGTACGTGTAAACTCACGTCTAGGTTTACACGTACAAGTAGACGTACACGGTCAAATGCTTAACCTCTCAAATATTACATGTGCAAAAAAGTTATATTATTTACTTACTACAATTTTGCCTTCACCAAAACTTTCTACAACACCGGTACCAATAAGTGTTTTAAAAATGCTTTATTCTATCTGTGATATAGTTGAACATAAAATTCTGTATAAAATGTTTCAGCAAAAACAAAAAGGATACAAGGGTATAACATGCGTCTCTCAAACACAACCCAAAGTAACAGTCAGCAAATATGTTTTCAAGACGCTGGAAATAAAACCCTTCCATCAATTATCGAAAACAACTGCAAAGGAGAAGCGCAGTACGTATGGATTTACACTAATAAAAGTCTCACCGATGGAATAGTCCTGGAAATATGTGAAGTGCAGGTCTTTGGTAAGCTGTTTGTTCCATTAAAAATGCAGTTGTTTTATTTCTCATGTTATACCGTCAGGCAAAGTTTAACACTGAGTTTTTTAAAACCTATTTAAATTAACGAACAACCCTCGTATATACTTAGATGTTCGCTAATCTATTGAACGGGTATAACCATTCAAACTATGTTGATACTTTGTACAAGCAAAGCAAATGTCTTTATACGTAAAATACACACAAATTATATTTAAAGCCAAATTAGGGATACTTTTTATACTTTATTATTATTGTTATTTATTTATTTTTTTTTTTTTTTTTGGAAAACAAATATCTATTTTACTTTTTTATTTTGTCATGGCTTCAAAATCTGATTGCTGCAAAGAAGAAATATTTGATAAAACTTGATTTTCCACAAGATGTTAAACCATTAAAGAGTATCTTTATCGGTTTTTTTATATTAATCATTATTATCCAGATATGGTAATGGAGATTTTATTGGCCAATGATAAAAACAATACAATTCTAGATATAACATATCTGGCAGAAATACGTCTGTCCTTGTTTGCAACTTGTATACAAAAATAAGAGCAAGGAGCTGTAAACGTCACAGTAGGCGCGGAATCAGTGTACTACGTAATCCAAGGCGGCAATGCAATGTATGCTTAACATACAGGCCCTCTAAATCATTTTTGTCATATAGTTATATTTATTTGTGCCATGGTTACATGTATAAGGATTTGCACAACAGTCAAATTTGGCATTAACCATTGCTATATTTTGTTTGTTTAAATATTGACACCAACTTTCTAGTGAAGGGTAGATAAATTGAAATATTATACTATTGATTTTGAGGGATAATGCTATGAATGAATACATGAAGTTATGAAAATGTTTCGATGCTGTCGTCCGTCTAGAATTTGGAAGGATTTAAACCGATTTTTTGGTAAACATGATTTCATGGTAGCTTGTTCAACGAATTGTATGAGAAGAAGAGTACACTTAAAAAAATAAATTTGACAAGATTAATAGCTATTTGACCAAGAGTAATGAAATAGAAGCAAGTTAGAAAAAAAACTGGCACCCACGAAGAAAGCCCAACTAGTGTTTGACTGATTTTTATAAAATTCGTTACAAATGTTGTTCAAAGTTCCTCTCTAAAATTACTTGTAGGATAGCGGCACATCTTGTCCTATACTCGGCACTGCGTGCCATTAAGCATGTATGATCTTTTCTGCCAGCACCTACCGCGACACGGGACATCGTTTTTTTACGGTCTTATCAGAAGGACCGGTCTTCAAGACCAATAGCTGTATTCGTACTAGCGACGAAAGGATCACCTACTTTCTTCACAACGTTAGAGCAAAGGATTTATCCAATGCATTATTACATTTTTTAGATTAAACTTCTAGTATGCTTTGGAATTTTGATCAGTTTTAATATCACAGCTTTCTGTTATAATAATGAATGAAATATTATTTATGCGAATCATTGACTACATGTAACCGATGTCTAAAAGCTAGAGCAAACAATTATTTTAGGTTTTTTATTGCCATCAGGTTTTAGTTTTAGTTATGTCTAAATTTTCAGATATGGAGAACCCTAATGTTAATGTAAACGATATTCACCTTTGGCTTACAGTCATATTAATATAATTATGATTGTGGATTTTTGAACGCAACCTTTTTTCATCTTTGTTAATAATAAAGTTATTTGAAGGTCTTTAAGAACAACCTGATTATTTGACTTGCCATTAATTTATAGGATTAAAATGTTTGTTTTAACTAAAAATAAAAAATATTTATATGCCCCACTTGTTGCTGGGACTTTCCACTTACTTCACATATCTATTGTCGCGTGTCATTCCTTTGGATTCCCACACTTTTGACTATAACTTTTGTTTAGTTAGTGCTGGGATTTCAATCTACAGTAAGTTTCATGCAGGGTCATAGAGGTGGGACAGATTTTTTTTCTTGCCAGCATCTACTGCTACACAGGACCGAAGGACCGGTATCCACGTCCCACAGTGGGATTCAATTAAACACCCGACGTAAGGATCAACTCCTTACTTTGCAACTCTAAAGGAGACGCTCTAACCTCAGAGCGGTCTTCTTAAAAGAATAAAAAAAAAACAACTATGCCTGTAAATAAATAGATTCACATTTTATCTACAAATTCTTTTTGAACGTCAGTTCTTGTACATCGTGTCATAAATCCCCTTGAAATACAATTCACAATAAATAGTTACAGCAGCATTTCATAAATATTTTTTTTTTACTTTCCTCTAAATAACAGGTTGTTCGTACCAGGAAAGTAGTGGGCCTTGTGTGCGTTGCAACCAGTGTAGGAATGACTGCAATGACAATGGGGAATGTGATGAACAGGGTTGTATGATGAATGGTTATCTTCCTCCATTTTGTAAAGGTAAGTAAACACACCTATAAATAAATATCTGCATTTGAAATAAAAGTAATGCATTATAAGATTATAATTTTGTTTAACTTTCCCATACTTTACTGAATTCAGAATTCCAGTCTAACAAGAAAAAAAAAATCTTTACTATAAGGGAAAAGGGTGTTGAACTTGTGATAATATAGACATTCTTCAGGTTACTAGTAATCAACTTCCTCAGGCGCACCTCATTAACCACCTCCTTGTAAAAAGATAAGTCCATAGGTTGATTAGCTTTGTTTTTATCACTAAGTGATTGATTAATTTGTACGTCAAGAAAGAAACTAGAACCTATAAGCTAAATTTCTCCTTAATGAAAGATCAATATTTTCTGACAACAGCATTTTCACAAAAGTCAAAAACAAATAAACTGCGTTTTTGCTTTTGCCACCAGCATTCCGGTAATTGGAAGTTGTCTTAATGAAATATTGTATTTCAAAATGACATTCATTTAGTTATCATTAAAAATCCAAAATAGATGTGAATTCCCTTTAAATTGAAAATACATGGTTTACTGATAAGGATTATAGGCAGAATTGGGAAAATAGAACTCAAAAAAGCAATAAAATTAATCCTTTAAGAACATTGAAGCTTTGTGATAAATATCAAAGAATTGACTGAATCCTTGTAATCTTGTAGCAAAAATACTTTCGTGGGTATATATGTCCTTGTACGTTTAACACGTATAGAACTATGCTTGTTTATTTCAAGAATGCAAAGATGGACATTTTGGTAATGATTGTGATCATCTCTGTGGACATTGTGCAAATAATGTTACATGCAATAGCACGACTGGTTCCTGCCCTGGAAACTGTGCACCTGGGTGGAAAAATACAAGAGGCAGGAAATGTAATCGAGGTATGCATTTAAACTCAATAACAAAAAAATATGTTGTGCAGTTGATATCGATACCTTGTGACAGTATATATTATATTGAACGTATTGTCGTCGGCGGTAATATGTACCTACCTTTGCTGCACATTTTGTCGTTCATCGGTACATATAGTCGCCGGCTGAAAAGTTACACATGTATACATATTGTCGCTGGCGACATTATGTGTCTTCTCCTCACTGCACATATTGTCGCCATACCGATATAATGATTTTTTGATAGTCATGTGTAAATAATAGTGATGTGTCCCTTATGCCAATTCCTGTAGCAATTTCATGACTGTACATATTGTCTTCTTGTTCATATTGTCGCTGGCGACAATGTTTACCAACTCTCACTGCAAATATTTTCGTCCATCAGTACATATCGCATGTCTAATCTGTAATTTAAAATTTTCTCACACACTGACTCTTGCAAAAGGATTTTAAAGGTCAAATAAGGTGTTTCGGGGCATAATTAGTAAATAAACAAGATGAAAAACTTTATTTTTTAAACTGTCATTTTCAATGAAAAATTAAGAAAACCATTCATGAATATGGGAGTTTTTTTTCATATTCGACAAAGGAAATGTATCCAGATTGCCTACAGTCTCTTAGAAAACGGTATTTACTATGTTCATGACCTCTTCTTTAAATTAATATCAAATTTAATATAGGTATCCGGTTTACTTTTCACGTGATTTCAACTTGAATGTCATGAAAATACCCTATTTTCTACATAATTATGCTAAAGCCGTAAAGTACGTGAAATAGAAAGTTGAAATTGATTATGACGTCATAATGGATCTAGCACCAAAACGTTAGTCTAAAGCTATTTACTAGATCTTGACCTAAAGATATAACTAAATTTTAATTAAATATAGGAAGAGGGCATGACCCTTCATTTGAATACTTAAATACTCTTGATCGAACTTTGGTTAAAATTGCTCCAGTATGATCTGGGAAGATTGCTGCGTTACTAACTAATGTACTTATTTTAATCATTGATTTTTTTTTTTTTTGGGGGGGGGGGGTTGTTTCACATGTATAAGTAACAACATCTAACAAACAGAACAGCGAACGGTGACAACTTTTCATATGTGTTATAGAGATTTGAACACAGTTCATTTTTAAATGATTCCATGAAGAAAATTACTCTGAATGTGAAAGTTTAAAATGAATGTAACTGCTTTCACGTCTACACATGAATGCATTCCTAAACAAAAGCGTGTTTAAAATTATTTTAGAATGTGAAAATGGATCCTTTGGCTTAGATTGCCGATATAATTGCAGTGGACATTGTGCAGAAAGTAAGCCATGCAACAAAATTAACGGTACTTGTGAAGGAGGGTGTGAAGACGGATGGATATATCCCAACTGCAGTAAAAGTAAAGGATTTTTTTTCTTTTAAAACACAAAATCTAAAACTTAAAATCCTTCATTTTTATCTACTTATGTTTGAATGAAGGTTCTCTATAACTGATATATACTGAGTGTTTTTTGGTCACCTGAGTCACTCAGGTGACCTATTGCTATCCGTTTTCGTCCGTCGTCGTCCGTCGTGTGTCGTGTATCGTGTGTCGTGTGTTAACATTTGAACATTTTCAGCTTCTTCTCTGAAATCACTCAACCAATTTCAACCAAATTTGGTATAGAGCATCTATGGGTGAAGGGGAACAAAAATTTTGAATTTCATGGTCCCCGCCCCCCTGGGGCCTGAGGGGTGGGGCCAAAACCACTTAAATTAGTGCAATCTTTAAAAATCTTCTTTACTCCTGGACATCAAGCAGGCTAACTGTTGACATGAATGTAATAAGAATTGAGTCCTCTACCAAAATTGTGAAATTCATGGCCCCAGGGTCAGGGGTTCTAGTGCTAGGGTGGGGCTGAATAGGTTATATAGTGAAAATGCATTATTTCCTTAAAAATCTTCTTCTCTGCTCCTGGGTATTAAATAAACTAACTAAGTACATAGTTATGATGAGAAAGAATGCCTCTTCCAAAATTGTGAATTTCTTGGACCCAGGGTCAGGGGTTCTTGTGTTAGGGCGGGGCTCTATTGATTATATAGTGAAAATGCATTGAATCTCTGAAAATCTTCTTTTCTGCTCTAGGGTATTAAATAAACTAACTAAGTACAAAGTTATGATGAGCAAGAGTGCCTCTTTCAAAATTGTGAATTTCATGGCCCCAGGGTCAGGGGTCCTGGTCTTAGGGCGGGGCTCTATTGATTATATAGTGAAAATGCATTATTTCCTTAAAAATCTCCTTCTCTGCTCCTGGGTATTAAATAAAGTAACTAAGTACAAAGTTATGATGAGCAAGAGTGCTTCTTTCAAAATTGTGAATTTCATGGTCCCAGGGTCAGGGGTTGTGGTGTTAGGGCGGGGCTCTATTGATTATATAGTGAAAATAAATTGAATCTCTGAAAATCTTCTTCTCTGCTCTGGGGTACTAAATAAACTAACTAAGAACATAGTTATGAGGAGCAAGAGTTGCCTCTTTCAAATTTGTGAATTTCATGGCCCCAGGGTCAGGGGTCCTGGTGTTAGGGCGGGGCTCTATTGATTATATAGTGAAAATGCATTATTTCCTTAAAAATCTTCTTCTCTGCTCCTGGGTATTAAATAAAGTAACTAAGTACAAAGTTATGATGAGCAAGAGTGCCTCTTTCAAAATTGTGAATTTCATGGCCCCAGGGTCAGGGGTTCTGGTGTTAGGGCGGGGCTCTATTGATTATATAGTGAAAATAAATTGAATCTCTGAAAATCTTCCTCTCTGCTCTGGTCTACTAAATAAACTAACTAAGAACATAGTTATGAGAAACAAGATTGCCTCTTTCAAATTTGTGAATTTCATGGCCCCAGGGTCAGGGGTCCTGGTGTTAGGGCGGGGCTCTATTGATTATATAGTGAAAATGAATTGAATCTCTGAAAATCTTCTTCTCTGCTCTGGGGTACTAAATAAACTAACTAAGTACATAGTTATGATGAGCAAGAGTGCCTCTTTCAGATTTGTGAATTTCATGGCCCCAGGGTCAGGGGTTCTGGTGTTAGGGCGGGGCTATATTGATTATATAGTGAAAATGCATTGAATCTCTGAAAATCTTCTTCTCTGCTCTGGGGTATTATATAAACTAACTAAGTAAATAGTTATGATGAACAAGAGTGCCTCTTTCAAATTTGTGAAATTCATGGCCCCAGGGTCAGGGGTCCTGGTCTTAGGGCGGGGCTCTATTGATTATATAATGAAAATGCATTAAATCTCTGAAAATCTTCTTCTCTGCTCTTGGATATTAAATAAACTAACTAAGTACATAGTTATGATGACCAAGAGTGCCTCTTCCAAATTTGTGAATTTCTTGGCCCCGGGGTCAGGGGTTTTAGTGCTAGGGCGGGGCTATATAGATTATTCAGTGAAAATGCATTATTTTTAAAAAAAAATTCTCCTCTGATCCTGAGTATTAAATAAACAAACTAAGTACATAGTTATAATGAGCAAGAGTGCCTCTTCCAAATATGTTAATTTCATGGCCCCTATGTCAGGGGTTTAGCTATTTGGTGTAAGGAGAGGGAGGCTCTACATTACATAAATTCTTTGAAAATCTTTTCCTTTGCTCCTGGATATTATGCCAATGATCTAAGTATATATATATATATATATATATATATATATATATATATATATATATATATATATATATATATATATATATATATATATAATATATATATATATATATATATATATATATATATATATATATATATATATATATATATATATATGATGAGGAGAGGTGCATCTAGCAAAAAGGTTAATTTCATGCCCCCCTGGGTCAGGGGTATCGGGGGGGGGGGTACATAGTCTGAAAATAAATGAATGCTATGAAATTTACTCATTAGTATTAATCAACCATATTTGATGAAATAACATTTATGATGATAAAATTTTGAAATATGTGGCGCCAGGGTCCATGGTTTCTGTGGAATGGGGTGCACAATTGCATGGTTTAGAATGGAAGTGCAGTTTTCTCTTAGTTACTCTGATCTAATTATGGGTGTTAAGTGACTATCTAGTAAGCATTGCTAAGTGTATAATTATGATAAGCAGTAGTGCCTCTTTGCAAAATTGTGAATTTCATGGCCTCTGGTTTAAAACACAATCCAAATTCAATTGTTGGAAAGTTGTTACATGAAACTCAGGTGACCTATAAGGCCTGTGGGCCTCTTGTTTAATAACTCATAGAATCTTGAGTCTCTTTACTTGATGTGAATTAAACAAAAACAAGCTTATTCAGGGAATATCTGCTCTCAGTCAATAAAAAAAGAAAAAAAAGAATGCGCAGATTTGAGGGGGGAGGTGGTAAGGCAAGGGGATACTTTTTTGAACGGTCGAGAAGAGCTATGATCATATGGTTAAACATTTGATTGCAAAGTCTCAATACCTTTGTTGCCCGAAAATGAAAATTTTACTCAGACGCCACTAAGTGCAAAAATGTATAATCTTGACGTTTGACCTCAAATAAATAAAGTCTTTCTTAAATTATAGGGAGTTTTGGTATAAAATGTTATTCAAAAGAATGACAGGCTTCTCGAGATATTGCATGGGAACGAATGTGTTAAGACGGACAATATTTTTGAATTGATGAATTCGTCTTTGTTTTTTTTTTACTTCAAAATCAAAAGGTATCCTTTTAGGTCATGAAAAATTTTTGTAGAGTTTCATTTAAAAAGCGCAAAGGTTTCTCGGAATATCAACCGAAAACAAAAGTAGGCAGAAATACAGACGGACGGACCGATATTATTATCCCCCACTTTCAGCAGGGGAAAATATTATAAACAATGTTTAACTTCATATTTTGGTTTAATAATCTACATTCAGTTTCAGACATCTTGCTATTTCTTGCACAACGTAAAAGTCACTCTATTTTCCCCTGCAGTATTTTTTTGCAATTACTTTATGGTTAAAGAGAATATTAAAACAATCTTTGTGTTAAATTTTCGTTATTAATATATTTTGAAGAGATTGTCTTCTCAATGTTTTGATAAAGAATAAAGTAACCCTTCATACGCAAACAACAGAGAAATATTTAAGGAATGACTCTAATTTTTGGCCAAATTATTCGATGATAATCTGTTTTGGGTCAGTTTACGCTTTATAATCTGCGAATCATCGAATCGGATGAAATAATATATATGTAACCAAGCGGAGATGGAAAACGCAGGTTCAGTTTGATAGATTTATTTGGAAATGAAAAAGCAATGGCAGATCTACAAATACAAAAACATATATATACAATATCATAATACACATAGACAAAATACTTTTATTTCCTATTCACTTCAAAAATAAGAAAATTTAAGTTTACTAAGCCCAAAACGTCAATTTCATAGTTTCAAATACCTTTCTCTCAAAAATATGAAAAATACTTGAGATTATAACTTGGACTTAATAGATAAAATACAAAAATTTAATAGACTAAGAAAATTACCTTTCAAGTGGTGACAACAGGCAGCTGGTAATAGGTAAGTTAAATTTCCCGCACTGACAGGGATGGGCCCATGCCTCAGTATTTATAGCAGAAAAACCGGTTAAACAAGACGGTACACATTTACTGGCCAATGAGATTTTGTGAGTAGAATTCATGAATGGAGACTACTACCAAATATGGCATAAAGTAAATTATGGCTCAGTAATTTATTCAATAAAGATAAAAAATTATTTTAAATAAATATGACTCTGCCACATATAATTGTACAATATTTCAAAAGATGTATGGAGGCTTTCCCTAAACCGACATCTAACACGCATAAGACATTTCTTGACAAGTTTATACACATTATAAATGCAAGTACATTTTATTTCATATATCGTTTATATTTGAGCTATCTAATTATGTAAACATTGTAGAAAATCATTTGGCCACACCTTTACGCGCAAAGCCGTTTTGAGTTCTTAATTTAGTAAATTTTGACAGCTTCCTCTTTACAGAAAGTTTCATTCTGATCTTATATGAAATTGAAATTAATGTACTTCAAAACCCAAGTTACAATAACATATATAATTTAGGTTACAACAAAAACATGGTTATATTTCAATTAGTGATACAGGTGTAAAAGCCTAGCTACTTTCATTGTACAACCGCATGTTTGCACAGAAATGCAAACATAAGCTACAAATTCTTTCATTTATGAAGACGTAAAAGCTTAACCGCTCTTGTGACGTCAAACACCGCTGCTCTGACTCCAACGACATAGATCTGCCTTCTTTCTTATATAGAAAATGCTGTTCGAGCAAACATTTGTATAATTGAAATGACAGGGTATCTTCCGTAAAATAGTACTACTTTTTTACAGGCTGTATTGATGGTTCTTACGGCAAGAATTGTAGTCGTCACTGTGGACATTGTTTAAACAAAGTTACCTGTCATCACGTGACAGGTTATTGTCCAAATGAACTCTGTGAACCAGGATATAAAGAAAGGGGATGTAATGAAGGTAAATATTGTGATCCATGTAAAGTGTATACTAGATGTGACAATCAAAATAAATAATTAAAAAGAAATAATTTTCAATTATTTCTTTTTTCAGAATGTGAAAACGGATATTTTGGCAATAACTGTAGAGAAGCATGTAGTGGACATTGTGCAGGGAATGTGCCATGCAATAAAACTGACGGTACCTGTCCAGGAGTATGTGCAGATGGGTGGATGAAACCCCGGTGCAATGAAAGTAAGGTTGTTGAATGCATTACTAACAGAACAATCTAAATGGTTATGATTCCAATATTTTGCGACTGTGTTTTTTATATAGACATATTGTACACTTTTCTCGGAAAACCTTTATGATTTTCCTACATGTGTCATCAGCATAATTGTTTACTCTTAAAATCTGAAAAAAATAAAGACCAGTCCAGAATTTTGATATTTAGAAGTACATCATACCTTGGATGAAAGTTTTCAATTATATCTTTCAGCCTGTCCAAATGGTTTTTACGGCAAGAATTGTAATATTCCCTGTGGACATTGCTTGAACAAAACAAGCTGTGATCACGTGACAGGTCACTGTCCTTCTGGACATTGTGAAGCAGGGTATAAATTTAATGAAAAGAAATGTGATGAAGGTATATATGCCAATGAAGTTATTATTACTCTTACAACATAACGATTGAAAAAAAACCTATGCTTTTAATCTTAAAATCACCAATATGTTCTATTTCAGAATGTGATGCCGGTACTTTTGGATACTACTGTAGGGGAAATTGCAGTGGACATTGTGCAGGGAATATGACATGCAATAAAACTGATGGTACTTGCCCTAGAGGGTGTGCAGATGGATGGAGAGATTCCTCTTGCAGAGAAAGTAAAAATGAAATTCGATATTTATAAATAGTAAAGTAAACATGCATCTTTATAAAATCGTTTTTTTTCATTTATTATATATAAACAAATTAAGAGCATCGAAATTAGACTTTCTGTTTGTAACGTATGCATTTTTAAACATAAGGTATTAATAATAAAAAAAAATATGTTTCACAATTGCTATTAAAAGTCAAAATCAGCAAGCATCGAGCATTTAGTTAAAGAATATGGAAAGTGGCATAGAAACAGATTTGGTTAAAACTCATAAATAAATTTTCAGAACAAAGGGTATGATAGAAAAAAGCAAGCAAAAATAATTTTTCTCATTGTTGCTATGGAAACCACGCGCCTTTTAGATGGCGTGTTTTGTACTTTATCATGACACTTGAATTTATGGTTAAACAAATACTTTTTTATTAATAGTCATTAAAAAAGCTTTTTAAACTATTATTTTATTTATATAAATACACTCTATTTTAGCAACTGTTGATTATTGAAATTCTCTTCACCTTTTGATAAATATAACTAGTTTTTGGAGGTTAATTTTGCTTTAAAAAAACAGCGAATTTGAAGTACTCTATAAGAAATCTACAACCACATTAAAGCATATCAACATGAAATATTTATTAAGCAGTATTTGTTCTAGAAAAATCAAGAAAAAAAATCTGCAGGCAACTAACGCATTTATATATGATAACTGATTTAAATCCATAATTTTCTGTCACTTTTGCTTCAAATTACCCCTTTGGTATAGCTCTCTAACATAGGAGGAATAAACGGTAGTTTGCTTACAATGTTTGCAATAACAAAGTACAGAAAACTAGCAGCAAATAACAAATTTGGAGCAATCTGAGCCTCAGTTTTGGCGTTTTCATGGGTCTTAATTATGGTGAGTGATTGCAATTTTTACAATATGCGATTACAACAGTTACTGAAGAATGTATAGCATAAATTGATAATATATAACACTTGGCAAGTGTTTTTGCACATTTTAATTGAATTCTAATTGATTATATATGTTAGCAATATTTTAGTATTTTATAACTAAAAAAAAAAGATTATGCATGGCCTGAGGAACCAAAAGTAGGGGGGGGGTATGCCCCCCTCCCCCCTATAAAATTGCCGATATTAAACTATATAATTTGAGCAAATGAAATTAAACCCCCCAACTTGTTTCTGCAGGCCTAACGTGAAAAAGTTGGTCATGATCGGTCACATAACTGTATCCCAAATTATCAAGTTTGATTTGAATTTAGTTTGATTTGAATTTGTTGTATTCACGGTATGTGTATGTAACCAAAGTCACTCACAAGCTATAATGATTATAACTGATAGTCGGGTAAATAAAAATTTTGTATAGTAGATATCTTTATTTACCATTTTAGATAATACCTGCTTTTATATGAAAAATTATGAATTTATGAAAACCAACACCATTATGAAATATTTGAAAAATGGATTGACCTTTGTTATGGCGTCCGTAAAAAAATGAAAAAGGGGCAGATGGTTAACTCTGTACTTATTTTAGTTTAGGAAAGGGGATTACCTTGGAAGTATTGTGATATAGACAACTGTTTTATGTAGTGGACTAGTGGTAACTGAATTTTATATATATATACCACAGTAACATAATGAATTAAAAAAAAATTGCTGATGTCATCCAGTGTTTACTAATAAAAGGAAATTCATATTCAGCTAACATTTTCTCCGATACCACTGAGCTAATTTTAAGTTACCTAGGTTCAAATAATAAGAAACATTAGATTTAAAGCACGTAAATTTATAAAAATGAATATCTTTACTCCATTTTTTCTTGGGGGTGGGGGGGGGGGGTTATTGGAAAGAAATAAAAAAACATAATTTAGAGTTTTGACAAAACCTAAAACCAGTTGACCTTTTTTATTACAAGTTTTTAAATTTAAAGAGTATCTAAAATCAATACGGTCTCAACTTTGAATCCAACTCGGAAAGAAGCAGAAACAGATCTGGATGACCTGATATAAAATTAGACAAGAAAAACATTTAAATAATACATTTAGTAAAAACGATAACTTTTTAAAATAAAATGATAAACCATTGAGATTTCTTGGAATTTATTTGATTCCAATAAACATGCTTTGCATTCATCATCATTGCTTAAGCTCAATTAGAAATGGTTCCTAGTATATGAAGGCAAAGCTGTAGAATATTATTACATTTTAATTTTATCACTTTTTCAGATCATGAGAATACCTGATTACAGTACAGACCATTGATGCTGAAAGTGTTAATAAAAATGATCAATCTAAAAGTAACGTTTTTGTTTGTCTGTTAGCATTTTTTTTTATTGATGTAAATCTAAGAACCATCAATTTTTGGCATGTAGATTCATAATTAGATAGTAGAAGAATCTGAAACATATCTTTATATTCTGCATTTTGAATATCATAATTAAAACAATGTCAATATAAAATGATCAATCAATTAATTTCAAAACTGACAAAATGTTTTCGGAGAAAAAAAAGAGGGCTATAATTTAAAGTCAGATGACACGATCTTCAAATTTATGTTTTGTATCTCTAGGTATTTTTTAAAGAAATATTCATTTTTGTCATTCTCTGCTGATTTCTACATTGTTTTCAAAATGTTTTTAAATATAAGTACAACAAAAATTTCTTTATATGCCATTCAAAAGATTACCTATAAGGGTTATTATGAAATATTTTTTAGGGTCATTTCAAGTTTAGACATTTATATATATATAGATATATAGCCCTTCCAGATTTTTATTTTAGGTACCAGTAGCTACTGAGGCCTTAGCTGTTTTGCCATTTTGTTCCTTAATTAAGACAGCAGGAGAATATATCATTGGTTCAAGACCAAAGTCATTCGTTCTTGACAGACATGGTATCGTTTTTGAAAGTGCATAGAGTGGGATAGGCATAAAAAAATTGCAAGAAAAAAAGTGGGGAAATTCTCCAAACTCGGGGGGGAGGGGGTTAAACATCAGGTTATTTTGAAAAAAAGGTGGATGGGGGATGTCATCCCCTCCCCCCCTACCCAAGCCAAACCTGATGCTACACGCTTGATTGATATGGTTTAACTTAAAAATTATGTTAGCTGTCATATATAGTGACTCTCTTTCATAAATTAGAGTTATTGTGAGCAAGCTAATAAAATGATACCCACCCTCCTGCTATTGCATTAAAGATATCCGATCCTCAATCTAAAAATTTCCTAAAAATTAATATTAAATTTAAAATGCATAATTATGAAGCTTAAAAATGAAATTTTTTCATGCAACAATTTTCATTTTATTCATCTTTATATGATTCAAGGTTTTTTGGAAGTCTTAGAAAAGGTCATACAAAAGTTAATAATTTTAGTTCATTTTACTTTAATTCTATAAAAGGAAAAAATAAATACAGTTTTAGAGAAATAAGATTTCTTGAATTGAGCCTTAGATACCAATGCTAATTAGCATGATATGGAATTAGAAGTGATTTGTAATGTTTTGCAATGATAGCAGAAGCATTTTACACTGTGTATTGTATAATACATGAAGGAAATAGAAGACATAGAATGTCAAATAAGTATAAAAAACATGACAATGTCTCTGAATGTCTGGATACCTATTGTTTTTTTAACCTAAAATATATTTGTTGATCAATATGCAAATAGAAAATGCATAACTGATATTCATAATCGCCTTTTCTGCATAAATATTGGAGATTTGACAATTTTCCCTATGTAACATGATTATCTTTAATGTTTAACTATAAAGAAAAACTGTGGGTAAATTCACATTACTTTGTGGATTCAGAGATATTTTTATGAGTATTTTCAATTACTTAACAACTAATTTTATGAACCTGAGGATCGGACTACCTTAAATGTTTTTTATTACAAAAAGGTCCAAATATTAATTTAAAACCTTTCTAAAATGTTCTAGTGCAGATATATATACATACCCAAATGACTATGACATATACTCAAGTCATAGGTAGTAAAACCATTGTGTTGAGCACAAACTTCCAATTTCTCTTCATTCGAAGTTAAATATGTAAATGTGCTAAACTCATATAGTACACTTTTACTGCAGTGACCTTGAAAAAGCTATGTCCATGATACAAGGTCAAACATGTCCAAATGAACTTTTGTCAAGGTCATGACATTTTTAAACCACAGCTCAAAAGTAATCCCCGAGATGAAACTTTTCATTAGAATGTTACAAAATGGGCACAGATTGCACTACCAATGACCTTGACCTTGTTCGAATGACCTAAGGTCAAGTTTTGGACACATCTCTAGATCATAAGCAATCTTAATTACAAGTATGAACTTTCAGTGGCACTTCATTGAAATGTTATGGACAAGTCAAAATTTTACATACTTATGGATGGCTGAACAAGGTGATTCCTATACCCCCACCCCCCACCCCCTTTCCAAGTTTCGTTTGTGAAGAATATAAAATTCCTTTTGA